AGCTAACTCAGGGTGACTCCAAGGCATTACCTACAAAGGAACTGTTGGGGATATGAGAGCAGGGATGAGCTCTGTAGGAGCAGACAGTGCCTTGGCTGGCAATGGGGCTGGGGGGCAGGGCTCACACCCTGTCACCACCCATATACCTCCATACACCACACTAGCTGCTGCAGCAAATGAAACAACTGAGCATCTCCTGCACAGCCTTCCCCAGAAGTGCTGAACATGGGCAGGCAGTGCAACACCCCAGACATCTATTATTAATAAAGATGGTTTCTGTTTGTGTCTCCCTTGACACATTCTCAAAGGGCTTTCCCTTCCATTATGTCATTAGCTATCCTAGCAACCCTCATGGGGGCAGGGAGGCTGGGAGTTATTATTCCTGTTGTACAGGGGGAGGAAGTGGGTCCAGGGATTCACTTGGAGCCGTGTAACTGGAAACAGTGCTGGATTGAGAATCCAACTGCCTGGGCTTAGACACACTCTAGATGCAGAACAGTACCTGAGGTGAAGGATGGAGGTGGAGTGATCCTGACTTCTCTCCAGTCTTGAGAAGTCCATTCAAAAGATGGGGTTAACCATGCCAGCCCCTAGAGTTGTTGGGTGTCCTTGTTAAGCAACTCTACACAAGTATCCTGTTGACTGGTTAGTAAGAAACTCTTTTAAGAAGGCTTCCTTGGACCTTATTTGAGGCTCTCTGTAGCTCAGAGAGTAGAGCTTCCACTCTTAGTCTTTCTCTTTAGAGATGAGGAAGTTGCACCAGAGAGGAGCATGGAGGCAACACCAGAACAAGAGCTTCTGTCAAGAGCTGTCTTGGAGTGAGATAGAAGTTCCTGAACTGAGGGTCATGGATGGAATGAATACCCACCACACTAAAGAGGATTCCAGACCACTAGCCTCTGACCATGCAGGATCTATGAAAATCCCCACAGTTGTGGACTTGATCTGAAAAGCCAAGGCTTGGGTTAGATGCATTGCACTGAGCTGGCAGGCAAGGGGCCGGTACGTTCTTCAGTGGGGGAGGGCCTTACAGCTCTCCAGTCCTGGGCAGACTTTGAACCAGGTCTGCAGGGCTCTGGCCCAGCTCTGCTGTGAGCTGCTCAGTAGCCCTGCTAGCTCTGAGCCTTGTCCTCTTGTCAGGGTGGCACCCTGGCCGCAGGATTGGCTCATCTCCAGCTACGGTGGAAAGGCTGAGCAGGGAGGCTGGCTCTGCAAAAGGGGCCATGGCACTCTGCAGACCTCTAGACTGAGAGGGCCATGTGGGCTGATGAATGGCCTGGGGGGCTGAGTCCAGATTTCTATCTCCTGCTTCCCCCCACCCCCTTTCTCCTTCTTTCTTTTTAAAGAAAGTGCAAGAGTGTGTGAGCATGGGAGGGGCAGAGGGAGAAAGAGAGAGAGAGAGAGAGAGAGAGAGAGAGAGAGAGAGAGAGAGAGAATCTTAAGCAGGCTCCATGCCCAACACGGAGCTCCTTGCCAGGCTCTATCTCAAGACAGTGAGATCATGACCTGAATGGAAATCTAGAGTCAGAGGCTTAACTGACTGAGCCACCCCGGTGCCCCTAGCTACTGCTCTCTTATTGACACCCAGTTTAATTCCAGGAAGCTCAATCCAGCATATCCAGCATGACATCTGACTGAGATATACCTGGGTTTGAATCCTGCCACTAGTTTACCACTTAGCTGTGTGCCCTTGGGCAAGTCATTTAATCCATCATTCTGTGCCTGTTTTTTCCTCTGGAAAGCAAGGAAAAGAATGCCACTTTGCAGATTGTGATAAAGAGGGAAGGTCGCAGAGAGCACCTGTGACAACAGGAAGTGAATCAATGGGAGCCATTATTGTTATCACCCCCTCATTGGCTCATAAGAGACAGTGGCTCTTACCTAAGCTCTATTCCCTTCTGGGAGGGCACCAGAGTGGGCTCTGTGAAAGGGTGGATGAGTAAGGGGAAACCATTTCCCAGAGCTGCAAACCTCCCAGGGAGTGCTCAGGCTCCATCTCCACTGACCCCCAGCTGCCCACCAACCATAACTCTGGGCTATGGCACCCAGGGGAGCAGTGAAAGCCAAAGCTTTTATCCTCCTCCTCCTGCATTCCAGGCCTTGGGACTCCACCCCATGCCTGTCCCCAGGCAAGCAAGTGGCTTCCTCCATCCATGTGCACCCTCTAATGCTATGATTGTGGGCTCTGTCCTCTGAGAGGACCTCCTCTTGGTATCTCTGTCCTCAGTTTTATTTATTTAAAAAAATTTTTTTTAACGTTTATTTATTTTTGAGACAGACCATGAACGGGGGAGGGTCAGAAAGAGGGAGACACAGAGTCCAAAGCAGACTCCAGGCTCTGAGCTGTCAGCACAGAGCCCGATGCAGGGCTCGAACTCACGGACCGCGAGATCATGCCTGAGCCGAAGTCGGCCGCTTAACTACTGAGCCACCCAGGCGCCCCTGTCCTCAGTTTTAATTGGCCCAATGCTAACACTGGTACTGCCCGTTCAGGCGTGAGGCCAACATTGAGTGCTCAGGCAGACTTTCACCTCACAGCAGTTTGCAAATTCCCTAAGAAATCAGCTTTCAAAAGTAGAGCTCTTCTGTAAACCCCATTTCTAGATGGGGAAACTGAAGCAGAGAGCAGGTGCCACTTGCCTAGCATCTTACCCCATTGCTCTCCTCCCTGTCTTGTGGTTTTCTCTGGAGTAGAAGTCCAGAGCAGAGGCGAGTGCTGGCTAGGAGTGGGGTCTCACCTCTGGTGCAGGGCAGGCTCCACCACCTGTTGGGGTACCCTAAGAGCTGGGGCAATGGGAGCTCAGCAAGCTGGGTTTGGCTGAGGACTGTAGCTGTTTCTAGTCCAGCAGATGCAGACCACTAATTACAGACCCTTATGGCTCCTACCCTAGAGATTATAAATCATGTAATACCCTCCACCCATTATGTGACAAAAGCTGAGAGTACCACTTTGCTTCCAAAAGCTCTGAAAGCTGGGAGCCTTAGCACTCAACACACTACCAGGTGGATTTGGGCTCCAGGTTCAGTGCCTCTCTTATTAGTGTCTGACCTCAGGAAAGTCTCTTAAACCTATCTGAACCTCAGTTTCTTCCATCTGTGTAACAGGGCTAGTATACTGGCCTCACAGGATTGTTGGAAGGCTTAAAGGAGCTCCAGTAGAGGCCCTAGTGAAGAGCTCAGTAACGGAAACTGTAATGGCATTGCTAGCCACTCAGAATGCCTCAGATTACTCCCCCCAAATGGCTCAAGTGGACACTGCTCATCTCCCCAGGAATCAAGCGGATGCTCTTTGCCTGCATGTGGTCGTACCTTACAATTTAGCCATCTTTCCCAAGTGGCTCTGCCCAAACTTGTGGCCTTTTATGCACAGTTCTGGGGTTCTAATGGGACTCAGGCCTGATCCCTGTTTTTGAGGACCAAGGGGAGGCAGGCAGGGAAGCAAATGCTGACCCAGCCATGGGATCACTGCACTATCATGATGAGTCCACATGAGGACACAGAAGTCCTGAGGACACCCTGAAATATAGTGAGGGACTAGTGAGATACAGTGAGAACAACCTAAAGGTGGAGGGGACAAAGAACAGGTTGGGAGGGTAGCCAGAAGGACAGGTAAGTGGAAGGGGCTATGAACACACTGAGAAGTTCAGCTGGGACAATGGGAGCCCCTGGAATTAAGTCTTCCCTTTTGTGTACACATAAAACAAAACATAGCGGTTATAAACACAGAATTCCTTGGAGGTTTTTCAGCGAGGGAGACACGCACCAGGCTCATCAGCCTGGAAGGACCCACTAGTGGAATGTGGAACCAGCGGCGGCGCCTGGGCCTCAGCAAGGCTGTGATGGGGTTTAGGGCAGGTGCTTTGAAGGGCAGAATGGCCAGGATTTACCACTGCTTGTGAGGGATGAGGAGGGAGCCAATGATGCCCATGCCATGCATGGTAATAGCTGGGTAGATGATGGCGCCCTGGCTGGGAACTTGGGAGTAAGAGCAGGCTTCAGTCAAGATATCGCACTCGGTTGTGGACCTTTGGAGTTTGAGGTCCCCAAGGAATGGAGACCTGGGTCAGGGAACTGGGTGTGGGAACTGGTGTTGTCAGCAAGGAAGGCAAAATTCCAAGCTCTGTTTTGGTGGGGAGATGAAGGAGCGGGAAGAGACCAGTGCAGTCACACAGCCAGGCAGTGTGAGAACTTCCTGCCTGGACTCCAGGGCTCCTTCCAGTCTGTAGAGGCCTCAAGAGCTGCTGGGTGCGGCTTGGGCCTACCTGGGTGGCTTTACACCAGGCCAGGCCAACCCAAACCCACTCATGCTTCTTCACCTGGGCTAGCAATTGCAAAGGAAAACCTCTGCCAACCAGAAGTCTCAGTGCAGTTGGTTTTTATTATTAAAGCCAAGATTGGAAAACAGCTGTCCCCCCACCCTCCCAGCGACCCTCCCACCCACCTCCAGATTCATCTCATTATGTCCTATGAAGGTGAAAACTAGACTGGAAAAGACTCAGAAATGCTCATGCCGAATGAGAGAATGAGGATGAATGAAATAGGCTCAGATGGTGGTCTTTGTATGATTGTGTTGGCTCCACCCAGGATTCCCAGAAAAGACGGCTTGGGGGTGGGGCTAGATAGCCCCTGCTCACAGTGCTGTTCCCAAGGGTCCGGGGTGGGCGCCAGGAACAAAGGCAACGGAAGAGGCTGGGCTGCCCCTGCGCTCTACCCTGCTGAAGCTGGGCCACAGGCTGGTTTTTGTAAAAATGGTTTAAAAAGACCCTAGCCATGAGCACCACCCTCCCCTGAGCAGGGCCAGAGGAGGCGCCAGCTCTGGGCTTTGAGGTCTGAGGCATGTGGCCTCCTGGCCTGGTGACACCTCCCTGGAGGCAGGCAGCACCCTGAGGGAGGCCAGGTGGGCTCCCGGGCCTTGAGTGATGCCCCTGGTTGCCTCTGGGGCTCTAGGAGAGCATCCAGATAGCTCTCCCTCCTCCTCCCACGCAGCCCAACTGGAGGGTCTAGGCTTCAGGGACCCTGTGCAACTTTTGCTCTTTGGATTCCAAAGATCTGAATTTCTCCTCCAGCACGGGTGCAGCAGGCTGGAAGTGGATGACAGGCTTGATCTGAAAGACAGTGAAGCCCTCCTGATTCTTCTGGTTGAAAAGACTTACCCTGTGTTCCAGCTCAGGGCTGGTTTGGGCCGAGCCCGCTGGGCTGGGCCAGGTGACAGGGGCTGGGTCCAAGGCCCTCTGGGATGGGCAGGGGTCCTCTGATAGGGAGGACAGCAGGTCCTGGACCGTGGCCTCTGCCATCTGCTGCTGGGGTGGTAGAGGCAGTGGCTGAGGAGAGGGGCTGGGCTCTGAGGATGGCTCCTCACGGGCGGTACTACAGTCTGTGGAAGAGCCCAGTGTCTGGCTGCTGTTGCTCTGGGCTCGGGTGACGGAGCTGTGAGCAGAGCGGGAGGCGCTCTCGGAGGTGGCACTTGCACGGGTGCCGTTGCTGCTGAGCTTCAGGGGCACATCGACTGAGAAGAGGTCAGAGGAGACGTTGGGCTGGTGGACATCGATGGCAGCTGTGGTGACTACACACACAGCTGGCTCTGGAACACCACTGTCTGCAAGAAAGGAGGGGATGCTGGTAACGCTTCTCCCTATGCCACACCTCTGCAGGCCCTGATGCAGGTGGCTCTGACCTGAATGGTGGACAGTGAGTGTGCCTGGGCTCTGCTGGGGGGGTAGGGGGGGTTGGTCTGTGGTCCAATTTCCCAATGTTTGCTGGCCTGCCCTGAGGGAGGATTATGCCCTGCCCTCGTCTTGGTGAACTCGTGTGGACATGGGACACGCACTGGTCAATTATCTGTGAGAACTGATCTGTGGCATCTATATAAACGGTAAACGGCTGTTGCTCTGCCTGGCAGTCAGCAATGCTCTAGAATAGATGGTAGCTGTTCTGCCCACTGGGTGCTGAAGGAAAGATGACAACCTGGGAGCAGAGTACCTGGATGATCTGCCATGGACCTTTGTTGATTTAGTTAAACCACAGTGCTGCTGGGGTTATTAATGCCAACATCCTAACTCAGAAGGCATGAGGTGCCAGGACAAGGAATTTGGGTTTCATGGTCAGGGGGAGTCATTCAAAGTTTTAACTGGGGCTAGTCTGAGAGTGACATGATCAGAGCTGTGTCTTCAGAAGATTGATTCATCCCTGAAGGAAGCATTGCAGGGGGAGGACAGAGGACACTTCAGAAGGTCTTTAAGTGAAAAGTATCCAGGGGCCAAATTACAGTGGGCAGGCACAGTGAGGGCAAGGTCTCTCTCCCCAAAGTTGTGGGGTGAGTGCACTGGGTGAGAGGTCTGAGCTAGAGATGATGGTGTTTGAAATCAGCAGATTGGATGAAGCTTTGAAAAAGAGAGGGAGAAAAGAGATCTTGAGGGGGCTAAATTATAAAGAAAAAAATCCAATGCATTATACATGTCACACAATGTAACATTCTAGTCTTACAATGGAATATATAAGGATTTGAAGGCTGTGAAATACAAACTATAAGGTTTAAGACACTGGCTAAGGAGAAACAAGACACTGAAGGCCTGCGTATTATTTTACACTTGATCTTAGCCAAAAGGCTGAGAAGCAATAGGCCTGCGTATTATTTTAAAACTCAACCTTTCCCGTAAGTGGAAACCACTAGGCTCCCCTGAAACTTCTTTCAAGTGCAAGAATGAAACGTAACTGGAGCAAGGACATGCCCCACACCTGTTGCTCCTCAAGCCCAAATACCTCACCCCCATCATGATCATGCTGAAAGGGTCTCAGGTTGAGAGGCACTGAGGTCACTCAGATTTCTAACCTCCAGCCCCCCTTTCATATGAGGGTCCCACATGCAGCCCTCATTGGTAATCACAGAGTACTCCACCCTTGACATCCATAGCTGGGTGCTGGACTTGGCTGGGAGTTAAAGCTCCAGGTCTTTGAACTCTGCCTGCAGTTATGGTTCACAGGCAACAGGAGATGGGCACGCCAGGCCGAGTTGTCCCCACTCTCAACATTAGGGGTTGCGTGGGGCCACAGAGAGATTCTGGTATGTGCAGATCGGCCCTGGACACAGACTCACCACTGCTGGGCCCATTGTAGTACTGACTGATGTAGCTGTTCATGTCATCTTTCACTGCGGCATCTATGCAGAGGACAGAGAAAGGTGAGTGTGGTGGCTCGCCAGGCTGTGGCCAGTTCATGTCCCTCCCCCAGTACTAAAGCCCCTACCCATCACCATGAGAGGAGGCATTGTCTCCCAGAGGCTCTCTGCTGCTTTCCAATCCTCAGTGGGGCTCTTCGCCAAGGCTGGGCTGGCCTGGGTATCAGGGACCCAGGTCCTCATGAAGCATCTGGCTTGATGTGTGACACGGGCAGGGCCCTTTCCTTCTCTGTCTTCAGTTTCCCCATCTCTGAGATGAGGGGTGTGGAAACAGTTCCTCAGGGTTTTCCCTGCCTGGATGGCCTAAGTCTCTGAGTCTACCTGAGGTTCTCAGGGTGACCGGAAATGCCATCCTCAGTACAAAAGTCTCAAAGCCCTGCAAGTGGCCACACACAGACAGCTGCAGAGGCTGATCACTGATGACATCCCCTTGGCTCATCTATCTGAGTACCTAGTCTCCCATGCAGTACAGGGATGGACCAGGGGCTGCGCTTCCCCACTACCTAGTACAGGGTGAGTGCTCAGTAAATAGTTACTGCATGAATAATGCATGACAAGGTATAAAGCTGTTCAGATCAAAGGAGATGACATGGGATCAGGATCTCAAAGAAATGGTGGTTCATCATCCTGATAGGAATGAAGAGGGAATGGGAGAGAGGAAAGGTGAGAAATTCAGAGTGGCCTGAGAATGGGAGGACAAGCAGATGACTGGAGACCCCAAAAGCCATCCCAAGGAGCTTGGCCTTGTTATGAGGGCAGTGAAGAACCACATGAAAGTTTGAATGCGGTCAGGTGTGACTCACTCCCAAGGTTGTGGGGTGAGTGGTTCAGAAGGTGCCAGGATTTAGGCAAGGAGACCAGAGACAATGCCCAGGTGAGGCTGACAGGTCCTGGGGAGGGAAGTGGTGCCTGATGGGACAGAAGGGAGGGATCAGAGTCAAGTGATAATCAGGAGGGACCTGGCACGGTTTGGAGAGTAACAAGATGATCTTTGACTCAGTTTGGTAACTTGTCAGCTGAGCTCAGGGTATGCTCCATTAGCAACCGTGGTCTCCCCTGGGTCCTAGGGTCCTACAAGGACCTATCAGAATCAGACCTGATTTCAAACCTCGACCTACCACATTTTAGCCAAATGGTCCTCTCTGAGCCTCTGTTCCCTTATCTGTTAAGGAGATTAAGCAAGCTAACGAATGTCGAATTTCTCCAGTGGGGTCAGGCACACGAAGGCCTTCAACACACAGAAGTCTAGTTCTTCCTCTCCTATGGACGTCTGAGGGAGTCCACACCCCTAGGTGCTTCTCCTAGGAACCGTGGTCTACAGATGAGTGGACCAGATGCTTTCTACGGCTGCCTTCCTGGGCACACCTGAAATCACTGCAAAGGCCAATCTGTCCTGACGCTGGAAGTCTGTGAGCACAGGCAGACCTGGCTCTTAGAAGCTTTTTTGGCCTCTTTTGATCTTTAAATGCCTGTGGTGAGAGGTGTGTTTTGCATTAATGCCTCAGCTGAGGGAGGGGCCCGAGGGAGTCTCGCTCTAGGCCCTGTTCCAGGATCAGCCAGCAATGCTCCCTCAGAATCAGACAGCAATACAATTCTCCATGGCTCTTTATAATTTATGTTGTAAATGCTGTCTAGCCCTGCAGGTCACCCTGGGAAGTAGGTGGTGGCTGGTATGGCTGCTTCCGGCAAGCAGTGACAGGAGGGGGTCCTCCAGGCCTATTGGGCCAGACAGGAGGTTCCAGTCCCTTCCTTTGCGCCATGGCTGCAGGGGACTTGTGACATGGGCAGAACTATGAACTTGGCTAAAATATCTGCAGACCTGTGAAAATTCATCCTAAGGGAGTTACACACAGAAGGTGGCCTGGGGTGATGAAGAAAAACCCAGAGCCTAGAAAATTACATGGACAGCTACATGCAGAATGAAACTGGACCACTTTCTTACTGAATGAGAGAAGTTATCTGCAAATCATATTCGATAAAGGGCTAAAACCCAAAATATATAAAGAACTCCTACAACTCAGCAGTAAAAAAAACCAAACTAATTAAAAAATGGGCAGTGGACCTGAACAGACATTTTTTTCAAAGAAGAAATATAGCTGGCCAACAGACACATGAAAAGATGCTCAACATCACTCCCCATCAGGGAAACGCAAATCAAAATTACAATGAGCTGTCACCTCACACCTGTCAGAATGGCTAAAATCAACAACACAAGAAATAAGAGGTGTTGGCAAGGATATGGAGAAAGAGGAACCCTCTCTTGCACTGTTGGTGGGAATGCAAACTGGTACAGCCACTGTGGGAGACAATACGGAGGTTCCTCAAAGAATTAAAAATAGAAAGACCATGGAATTCTACCAGTGGGTATTTACCCAGAGAAAATGAAGACACGAATTTGAAAAGATATATGCATCCCTATGTTTACTACAGCATTATTTGCAAAAGCCAAGATGTGGAAGTACCCTAAGTGTCCACTGATAAAAGAACAGATAAAGAAGATGTGGTGTACACACACAGAGAGAAATATTACTGAGTCATAAAAAAGGATGAGATCATGCCATTTAAGGCAACATGAACAGAACTAGAGGGCCTTATGCTAAATAAGTCAGAGAAAGACAAACACCATATAATTTCACTTACATGTGGAATCTAGAAAACAAAGAATAAATAAACAGTGGAAACAGACCTGTACATATGGAGACTGACTGATGGCTGCCAGATGGGAGGTGGTGGGGAGATAGGCAAAATGGTTGAAGAGGAGTGGGAGATACAGGCTTCTGGTTATGGAGTAAGTCCAAGGAATGAAAGGTAGAGCATGGGAGATGTTGTCAATGGTATCGTAATAGCATTGTATGGTGACAGATGGTAGCCACACTTGTGGTGAGCACAGCATAATAAACTTGTTAAATCACTGTTGTACGCTTGAAACTAATGTAACATTGTATAAACAAATTGTAACAAACAAACCCAAAACCCAGATCCTGGGTCTTGTCCTGGGGCATGCCACTGCCACAGGAGCCTGAGGTCACATCCCCTCTCTGGTCCTCAGTTTCTTCATCTGTACCACCAGGGGCAGGTGAGGCCCTTGCAGATTGTGATGTTGCTGGGCTAGATAGCTTCCAAAACCTCTGCCAGCTCTAAAGCACCCAGCGGTGAGAGAGCAGTGTGGGAAGGGACCAGAGGCATCTGGGCTATCACCTCACTACCTCCTGATGGGGGGCTCTCCCCTCCATGGCCTGCACACCTGGGGAAGGGAGGGCCTACCTCTTTGTTGAGGAGCTCTAACAGTCAGCTGTGGACAGCTTCTTGTTCATTTGTGCTCAGTAGGATCACAGTGTGCTGGACCCTGTGCTGGGTACTGAGGCCAGGAGTCCTGGCCTCTGAGGAGCACAGGCGGGGCCTTACTAGGATGTCCATTCCTTGGTCAAACAGCCAATCTCCATTTAATCAAGCCTTGCAGACCCTGGTCCTGTCTTTCACAGGTACCAAGGCTAAGCCCACTGCTCCTCACCGTCTATGTGATGGTGACAGACCATCCAACACTTAAACACTTAAAAGGCCCTCCTGAGAAGTCTCCTCTGGGAAACCACTGTCCATTTTCTACTCCTCCCCAGTTTTCCAGCTTTTCCACTCTGAAGGCTTCACTAGGGGTTACAGATGTGACCAAAACAGGTGGAGGAGGGGAAGGGAGGGAGCATTCACTGTGCCTTCATAGCTCCACACCTTGGGGTTTGGCACTACACACACCGAGATCCTTTAATCCTGGCCACTGCCCTGCAAGGCCAGGATTACTTAATAAACTGGTCCTTCCTAAAATCTGGCGGGATTACTCCCCTAATGCAGCCTGACATCTTCCAAGTGGGTGCAGCAACCACCCTACTCCACTGACTCACGAGACACCCAGGGCTTCTCTGCAGTAACTGGGGCCAGGCCAAGCCCTTACCACACTTGGCTGTGTAACCCCCATGGAGGATTCCTGTTTCTCATCCCAGGCAAATGTCAGTACAGAGGTGCAGCCTGCTGAGGAGGACTTTTTTTTTTTTTTTAAGTTTACTTATTTATTTAGAGAGAGAGAGTGGGGGAGGGGCAGAAAGAGAGGAGAGAGAGAGAGAGAGAGAGCGAGCCAGGAAGGGACAGAAAGAAAGGGAGAGAGAGAGAATCCCAAGCAGGCTCCACGCTGTCAGCATGGAGCCTGATGTGGGGCTCGAACCCATGAACTGTGAGATCATGACCTGATCGGAAACCAAGAGTTGGAGTTGACTTAATCAACTAAGCCATGCAGGCACCCCAGAGAACTGTTAATGTTGGTTCAGTCCAAGGTATTAGATCTTTCTCCTATCTCAGTGTTGACTGTTTGAGGTTGCCACATCTTCATCCAAGCCATTGGAAAACACAATCTAGGCTAGGTCAACTGTAGCCCTGATGTCTCTCTTGAACTTCTGACTGATGTGGCAACTGGCCAACTTCGTCTGAATGACCTCTAGCTACTTCTGATTCAACATGTCCCAAATAGAACTCAGTTTCTCCCTCCACCTCCATCTTGGTGAATGGTTTCTTTGCCCACCCAGGCTGGGAGACTGGCCACTTCTCAGTGCTTTCTCTTTCCTCACCCGACTCCTACCAAGTCTGTGACTATTCGAGGGACCCCTGATGCCCTCTGTTATGGTCCTGTGGTCTAGCCATAGGTCAGATGTCGTGCTTTCCCCTTCGGACTCTTGTCATGTCTTGGGTTTAATGAATGGGATGCTAGCTGCATGAATATGCCTGACAAAACCTAGGGCCCAGGTGGCCACTGGAGGTTTGTCCAGTCTGCATTTGCTCCCTCTATTCCCACACAGGGGCCTCAGAATGAGCTTTAAGATACAGATCTGAAAGCGAGGCCTGCTGGACTCCTCTAGCAATGCTGACACTGTTCATGCCTGCTCTCTGCTTTAAGCAGGACTTCTCCAGAACTGACCACTTGGGCTGGGGTTCCGTCCTGA